TCTCTCTCTCTCTCTCTCTCTCTCTCTCTCTCTCTCTCTCTCTCTCTCTCTCTCTCTCTCTCTCTCTCTCTCTCTCTGTGTCTCTCTCTGTCTCTTGCTCCCTCTTCTCCCCCTTTGCCACTCAAAATCTCTCCCTCCGCTTGAACCCCTTTCTGTCCCCTCTTTCTCCCCTCTTTTTTTTATTTCAACCCTCTCCAGGCTGAGGGCATACTCACACTAGCGCATTCCAGAAAATGCATCTGACTACAATTACGGCCAGACCTTGATGAATCTGACCGCAATCACGTCCAGAGCTTTCCCTGACACAAGCACGCTTTCAGCAGTGTGCTACGTGTCAAGCGACCGGTCTGCCTACGTGTCCACCGACCGGTCTGATTACATGTCAACCGACCGGTCGATCTGCCCGACGTCTCGCCGAAGGGTGCCCAAATCCAAATGACCGTTGCAGTCCCCGATTTGCTCCCTCCTCCACCCTGCGTTCTTCTTGCGCCGCTACCGAACCGAATAGCAGCGTCCTTTCTTTCTCCTTTCTCTTTTGGGAAAAAAGTGCATCTGTACCCCAGCTAAAAGTGGGAATACGTCCTTTGGGACATCCGTTAAAACTGGAACGATACAGAGAGAAGGGTAAATTAGCAAATGGCCCCTGCGCAAGGATGACACGCATAAATCGAGAAACGGTCCAAATTATTATTATGAAAAAAAAAAAAAAAAAAAAGTGGGAATACCCGCTCTACCCAGTCCTCCGGGCTCCCACCTTGAACTTCCTGACATACCGCGCAGGCGCGGGCTTGCAGCCCACAATGCGACTGTGAGGCCGCCATGTCCCGGGGCTACCGGTAGGTCCCACTTACACGAATTATTAAGCGATATGACCGTAGATAGGATAGCAAAGATCAACGGCCAGAGAATCTTAATCCGTGCAAGTGGGACCTTGCCCCGGCATGGCCCGGCAGCAGCGAAGCGCAGAGGAGCAAGGGACGGTGGCAGCACTGCCCCGGGGCCAACGAAGCGCAGAGGAGCAAGGGACGGTGGCAGCACTGCCCCGGGGCCAAGTCCTACTAGCAGCGTTGAGCTACCTCAACGCCCGAATCTGGACGTTTTGCGGAGATGTGCAGAAATGGTGTTGAGTTTCCTGAACTGCACGTCTCCACAAACACGTCCACATTCAGGCGTTGAGGTAGCTCAACGCTGCTAGTGGGACTTGGGCCCCGGGATGGAAAGTGAAGGAAGTATAGCCTCTATGCCCAGAAAATGGGCCGAGGAAATTATTTGCATGCCAACGACTGGGGCGGACTTAGGGTCAGATCCCACTACCCTGGATTATTCATTTTTCACCCTCCATTACGAAGATCAACGGTCATAAATGAACAATAGGGCCTAGCATTATGCCAGCAA